AAAGCAGCAGTTATATATCAAAGCCCCATCTGAGCCAATATGGCTAACTGGAGTATGAAAAGAGCAACACGGACCACAGGCTGACAGACAAGGGCCTGCAGTCAGTGAGAGTAAATAAAATTAACTCTTTGGAAAAATGTTTCAGCTGTTTTTTTTGTTTTGTTTTGTTTTTTTCCAAGTGATGGAAGGGTGATTCAGAGTGGCATTGCTGTTAAAATAATAAGAAGTATAGAGTTTTAATATTTCATCACCCAGAAGTAGAAATGATATACTGTATGCAAATACTTTTACTTTATATCAGTTTAATGCATAAAATCTGAAAACTCCCACTATTTTCAGTCTTACTAAATGTTTTATTAAAATGTGGTGCATCTGATTTGAAGGAAATATTTTGCAGATTGATCCATTGGTAGAACTAAATCTGTAAATGTCTTCTGTTGGACTTAATACCACTCTGTCTCTCAAAGAACATGCAACATGTCTTTTCATTTAACATTAACTGTTTTTTTTTTTTTTGTTTTTTAAAGCTCTTACACAATGCAAGCTCTTATATTTCTGCACCTTACAAAGTAAGTTGGCATTAAAAAAAAATAAAAGTCACTTAACTGGAAGCGTCCTGTCATGTTTGAAATACTAGATGTGCTCCCATTCTGAATAGTGCATGTGTATTGGGATAAATGGTGGATTTTGCAGATCGAGAGGTATGCGTCACTTCCACTCTCCACATTTAACCAGCAACAGGAGGAAAGGTTTCTGTTCCACACACGCACCCAAATAGATCATTATAAGCTGAATTAGTGAGAGAGAAACAAGATGTTCTAAATTGGAAGCTCCATGTGTTTTCAGTATAGAGGGGTGAGTGAATCTTTATTAGTGTAGACAGAGCCCCCGCACACAGCATGAGGTTAGGTTATGTTACAGTTGGTCGCTGCTGCGATTTTTTTGCAGATTCAGTTGTGTCGATTCTGTAACGATGAACTGTGCCACAGATACGTATGGCACTTTCTCTTCCTTCATGAACTACACACAAGACAGATACATCTGTCAAACCATAAATTAGAACAGCTCCACTTTTTACATATTCGTAGACTTCCACTAGTCTTTGTATTGTTTTGACTAAATATCTCCTTTACATTAAAATTTCCTCAAATTTCTCCATATATTCCAGTTTGTAATTTAGGTTACAAACTGGCAGTTTCCAAAGTACTAAATACTTATTAAATATTTAATACAAGATAGCATTCTCTTCAATTACTCTTTGAAGCAGAGGTTTTATTTGTCTTTATAATTATGTTTATAATTATTATTGTTTATGACTGTGTTTTGGATAAAATAAACTGTCTAAACTCAATAAAAGAGACTTTCGTCTGGATCGCACACAATTTTTGAGAGTTCTTATAATAAATTCTCGAATGTGTCAATACTTTTGCAATTTAACTAAAGACAACTTCTCGTATAATGGTAAAACAGGTGCAAACAGAAACTAATGAATCAATGTTTCTGTTCACAGTGTGACCCTTTGAGCTCCAACTGCCTCTTTATGGATGTATATGTGTTCCTTTAGGCCAGTTCATGCTTGACCACACAGTGAAAATGTGTACCTCCTGATACGAGGACCCCTCGGTTAAACGCATGAATCACATGTTTTTGTCTTCGGCACAAATAAAAACTGTCAGAGGACATCAGAAATCCACAAAAAGAGTTGTTATCTCCACCTCCTCCTCTTTCGCACTCGCTTTGTGGAATCCCAGCTTTAAATGCGTGTCCGGAAAGGAGGGAGGGGACGGCTGGGAGATTGTGCAAATGAACAAACAAAACGAGAAGAGGTTACTTGCACAACCCCTGATACAACAATAACTGTCTCAATCTCGTCCCCATAAATGATCAGATCAGATTGCCGTAGCGTTCATTTCAATGCCATGCAGCTCTTATTTATTTTTGTTCTGTTTTTCTTCTGTCTGGAAAATTCCATCTCTTTCCCCAAAGTCATCTCCAGTATCAGGTCCTAATAGTACACTCAGGAGGGCTTGGTGATGAATAAAGTATGATTTCCTGTCCATCTTCTCTCCAAAAAGAGAAGAAAAAAAATTCCACCTAAAAAAAAAAAAAATACAAAAAAAAAACTGTGTCATGATAGATTTTGCTTTCAATTATACTGAAGAAGCTTTGAACAAAATCTTCCTTAAATATCCAATTGCTTTTCAAATGCTTTTCTTAGAATAAACTTAGAATCTAAAACACAAATCTAAGCAACTGGGGGGAAAAAAGGAAAAGAAACGTCTTAAGACTTGACTTCTTCTCAGAGTGTAAGATCAGTATTAGATTTCACGGCCTGAGACGCTGCAGAGACGCTTTTCCACATGCAGTTGGAAGCTCCGTAGGTGGAAACAGTAAAATAACAGCCTGCCTGCACAGTCCCCAAAACTTTCAAACTGGTGGCAGTAAATCAAAGTTTGTATCACAGCAGGCGCACAAAGCATCACAAAAACCAGGGACTGGTGTCCCTATTTCAAATGCTCCTAACATTTGGTTCTAATTCAGAAACTTTTCCACCCTCTTCTACATTGTTGAAGCGTAATGCTCTGTATATTTAAACATCCATTTGGTCATTATTAACGCACGAGGTGGTTCTCGTTATCCTTGCAAAAACTATGTGGCGACAAAAAAAAAAAGAGATCTTAATGTTACGAGTAATTTCAGTTGCTGATTTACAAACGGTCGAAGTAACTGATGAGGATTAAAAACCGCAGTTTGACCTTAAATAGGCTTTAAAACCTGTGCACAATAGAAAAGATTGATCAAATGAGTAAAATCTGCTAAAAACAAATGACGTCTGATTGTGTTGAGCGCAAACAAATGCAGTAATTAAGCTCAAAAGTGCTCCAGCTCCTCACATTAACACTTTATGATGTAAATGAACAGGATAAACTTGGTTTAAGGGGTTTTATTCCACAAATAACTTTTGTTCACTAAATCCCCCTTTTTACACTGTTTAGAAACAACTGACACACTAACGGTAGAAAAGGATGAAAGAGCAGACCAACTTTTCTTTCATTCCCCCCCTGCCCCCAACCATAGGCGTTGCCGGGCCCGTTTTTTACCCCGGTGTTCCAGCACGTATCTGCCCCAGTAAAGTTATCTGATCAAATTTCAACAATTACAGCCCAAAGATTCACATAAAATGATCACAGGAAGCTCCAGGAAGAGAAAGATAAAGGAATAAGGAAAGATTAAAGATTCATGCACGGTACCGTTTATACCGATAAGTGTTGCCGGCTATGCTCCCATACAAATGCACTAGAAAAAGTTCAGTACAAGAAACCTTGCACACACACACGTGAACCAAAATGTGATTTATATTCGAATTGCAATAACAAAGCAGGTTCTTCCATGAATCTGTTTCATCTGAAAAAACTACAACTGGATTTTTATTGTTATTATTATTATTGATAAATAGGCATCTGGCTACAGCTGCTGGTTTTGCAATAGAAAACCAAGTTGCAATAGTTTCTTGATGAATTTCTACCAGATCGGCCTAAAGCCTTCGCGGAGCATTTGCCTCACACTACAAAACAAATGGTTGGTTCACTGAGCATGAACTGCATGGCACCCATGTAATTAGCTTCTATTTGCTGCAGTCAAAGTAATTCACATTTTTCACTCCAACGTGGAAGCTCAGCTCATTTCACACATTTCTCCTGACAGAGTCTTGTGGAGCACAAACAAAACTCCGGGGTGAGAAGGTTCTGGATTTTCTTTCCTCATGAAGCACGGTAATTAAAATCTCTCACATCATATTTGAGATTTAAAGTCCAGACTCTTATGGAAGAGTTGATAATAGCTCTTTAAAACAAGGCAAAGCCATGTGGCAGCCATCTGAAAATCATAATTCAGAACTCAAGTCTACATGAGCTTAAAAAGTTCACCAGGTCTTATTAAAGTACTTTAATTGTCTTACTTGCATAGCATTTCATTGTTTCTATAGAAATTCAAAATAAAAGAAAATTCACTGCATGTTTACAATATAAATTCTGTGAAGGTCATGATGTCTGTTTGTGAAGAATTTTTCTTTTTTTTTCCCCCACAAAAGTTCTATTTCTAGCGATGTCAAAGGGTAATTACTTTTTGTTCCAGTTCATTAAAGAATTAAGAGATGAATTTACAGTCAGCAGCTTGTTTCTTACAATGAAGGATCCTGACGGATGTTAGAATGATGAATAATTTATACAGGTTTCAATCGGCCCTGATCTACCTAATATTTACTTTATGAAAGTTCTCAAAAAAAAAAAAAAGGTCTGTAGGATTTGGAGACATAGATCAAATCCAATTGCAAATCAATCCACAACGCAAAGTCGGAGTTTATATTTCTATACCGCTTCTTATCGCAAAATCAGGCTCTGACTTTTGTAACGCCAAAGCTTCAGTCAGCAGAAACTCGCCTTTATCCAACCTCACTGGGCCGCGACACCGACCATCAGAAAGTTGACACGGAAGCGCCTCGACGGTGGAGGTGCAGTGTTGCGCCGCGTCCAACAGAGATCACTGCGCATCGCGGAACTGGCGTCTGAGCCGCCGCAGCGGCTTCATATAAGCGTCAACATATGTTTAAAAAAAAAAACATAATTAAGCCACATGCTTACAACAACCGGTCGACTGAAAAATTAAGAGTTAATTGACTAATGAGGCCAAACATGTTTTAAATAGATCACATTAGTCTGATCATTTTGTTATGCATAGGTCGGAATTGAATTCCACTTCCATTTCCTCAATTTTCTGTTATAGTTATTATAAAGATTACAATTGCGCCTTCGTTAGCCAAATTTGCTAGATGTGAACATGCAGTTGTGCGTAAAAGTAACAGAAACAAGCTTTATTTTTTCTTCCAGTGAAAGTCTCCCATCTTTTCAATTTTCATAGTGTTATAAGCGCAGAGTTATTTAAGATTATATCTTTCAATTAATAACAATTTTTATTATTATTATTATTATTAATTTTATTACCTGTACCACTCCAGTCCGTTCTCGTAGTTGCGGTCAAAGAAGTGCGGCTCCGCTCCCACGGCCCTGATGTCCGGGTGGACCCGCAGGAACTCCAGCAGAGCCCGCGTTCCTCCTTTCTTCACCCCGATGATGATCGCCTGCGGCAGCTTCTTGCTCCCGGAGCCGTTGGAGAAGCTGGACATGGCGCTCGGATCCGGAACTCTGTCTCTCTCCGCGTCCAGCAGGTCTCTGGACGCCGCGGTCCTGATGGACGGCTCCTCGTAGTCGCTCTCCACGTCTTCCCAGGGCTGCGGCTTGGCCAGCAGTCTGGTCACCAGGTCCGACCTCCTGGCCGTCGCCGGAGCCGTCTCCTTGCCCCGCGGGGTGTCCACCATCACCAAGCCGGGCACGGTGGAGCAGTAGCCCACGCAGGAGTAGAGCATGTAAACCCAGACTACGAACATGATGCTGAGCAGGAGAAGTTTCTTCTTCACGGGGCTGGACCAGAAGGCATGCAGGCTGTGGAAAACCGGGCTATAATATTCCATAAGCCTTCCTGGAGCAAATCAGATCCCAGCGGCGCATAGTGCCCAAACTCACTCCCTCTGGCACCTCTGCAATCCCCGCGAAATTAAACACATGCTCCCCCACTTCAAAAAAAAAGGGAAAAAAAAAACTCACTAAAATGATAAAATAACAATAGTAATAATAAAAAAAAACTTATAAAGAAAAACACATAACAACTAAAGTGAACGGGATCGAAGAGATGGAGACATCCGGGAATGAGATCATAGTTTCGGCTAAAACTGTGGAATTGAGCCGCGTCGCTCCTCGCTGCTGCTGCTGCTGCAGCTTCGTCTCATCAGCTTAGTGACAGCCGCTGCCGGAGCCGCTCACCTTATAAGGAGCCGCAAGCTGGAGTGACGGCGGCTTTCAGCCAATCAGAAGCGAGGAGCTTAAATATGCAGCCGTTTGTTTACAGAAGAGGACCAATCGGATGGAGGGAGGGGGGCGTTTCTGAGCCGTGGGATCCTCGGTATGGAAATTAGACGCGTGTGCGCGTCCGCGTGCGTGAGAGCTCTCTCTCTCTCTCGCCGCGCGTGTGTGTGTGTGTATGTCTGTGTGTGTGTGTGTGTGTGTGTGTGTATGTCTGCGTGTGTGTGTGTGTGTGTGTGTGTGTGTGTGTGTGTGTGTGTGTGTGTGTGTGTGTGTGTGTGTGTGTGTGTGTGAGATGCTGAGAGGGAGTTTGGAAAACGTTCTTATTTTGCAATTAAACTGCGGTTTTTCACGGGTTTCCCTGCAGGCACGCAGTTCACATGAGTTCAGACGACCTGAAACTTAACAGTTTATTTTGACTTGTCTGCACATGGTGTCTGACTTTGCTTTCCCAACAGCAAAATAACCCTTTCTTTTATTTATGTATTTTTTTTTTTTTTTTGTTATGCAACAAAAGTAGGCAAATGCTTAGTATGAAAATTAAACGCTACCTCCATCTGTTAATTATATACTAATAAAACTGTAATTTGGAATTGAACCAATTAACTGTTTCACCATTTTGCAAACGTTTATTAATCTAGATATCTATCCAGATAACGATGGAAGAATTAATAAAGCTTCACAGCTAAAATCATCTTATGTTAAATAGTTATTCAACACAGTTAGTGAAATTGCATTATCGTAATTAATAATTCATTAAAAATAATTACTAAAATAAACTTGTTTCTAACTGTTCTGTTTTTGTTGACTTGAACTCTTTATTTATATTTTAGTGAAGAAAAAAAGTATGAATAAACAAATATGTGGTTGATCACCAGGAGGTTCATACACAGAATATTAACATGAAAAAGGCATTTCTGAATATATAATCATCTTTCTTTTTTTTCTTTTTTTTATGTGAACTTAAAACCTAAATGTTCAACAGTTCAAAAGACCTGTTTTCTGTATGCAGAGCTTGTATCACACCTCAGCTGGATTTCTCCAAAGCAGCCAAATTAAGTCCGAAATACCAATAAAAGTTTAAAATAAAATAAAAAATCTGGAATATAAACCTGTTCCCCTGACAACCTGTTGCTCTCTGAAATCACTGCCTCGTGACGAGCAAGTGCAAAAATTTGACTCCAAATTAGTTAAAGCTGGATAAGCACCTCTCTCTTCCAATGCGAAAACCTTCTTGGCCACGATGACAATTGTCGACATTTGCTACATTTATTCGTAATACGACCCATATGAGCATATGAGCCGTACCATCCTATTGCTGGACATCACACACTATGCATAGCAATCGACTGAACCAACACCTGGAGGTACATTTAAGTAGAAACTTATTATTGCTGGAATTTAATTAGTTTTGAACGTCACAATTGAAAAAAAAAACAAAATAAACAACAACAAAAAAAACTAGTAAAATATAAGAGCTCAAATTTCACACTTCGATTCTTTTTTGAGTGTATTCATTTACCAGTTAACACACACATATAAAATCAGCTGATTAAAGCAAAGAAAGACAATTGTCTCCATTTCTTTACCCATGCAAATTTGCTGCACGGTTTATATTTTTCTGAAGACAGAAAGAGGTGTTGAGAGTTCAAGCTGAAATCGCTTTTCTGCATTTCCTTCCGCACTGACTTTATGTTACTTTATCATCAGTAACAACTTTATTTCTCTCTCATTCCTAACCACCACTTCCCATGACAGACATGCATTAAACAGCAATGACCCACCAATGCTGCAAACTTGTCCTGTGGCTGATTTAAAGTCCAACTTTAAATGAAAGAAAAAAAAAAGTTTGCAAGTGCATTTTTTGAAACTGTGGTCATGAATGACTGTGTGATATGTTTTTCTGTTCTGGTTCATTGTTTTGTGAATGACACATTAAGATACAATATTTAAATAGGATGTAATGGTCCATCACATGAAAAGTGTATAACTGTGGAAAGTAGAAGGAAAAGAATAGATTGCTTTCAGCATTTTTGTACAATGTAATCTGAAAAGTGTGGCAGGAAATCACCACTAAACCCTCAATTGTAACACTTTTTAATAAAATATTTTGTTTTTGTTTTTCGTCAAATTTTCTCTGTTGAGTCACTAAAGGAAAAGTTCAAATGAAACTAAACCTGGTGAGAACAAAACTTCTTTCAAAAAACCGGGTTTGATTATCATGTCACCATAAACGATTTGTGTTGAACAGTCGAACTGGAAATGCTATGTGGTTTGGCCACATGACATTTTTTTAGCATGGCATCATCCTTTCACCTTTATTTAGTTTCCTGAAGCTCCAATCCGGTTTGGAAACTGAGCCCATGTTTCCACTCATCTGCAGATTTGTAATTTTTACAGTTGCATATTTTATTCAGAAAGTTCTTTTATGCTCATTTTGGGACCAAAGGATTCAGAAAATTTAACACAAACTAAATAATGTATTATTTAATAAAAATCAACATATTTTTTTTATTTTGCGTTTTGTTTAATTATACATCTTTCATTTACCAACTTTAAATCGCTCAAAAACAATTCAAGAGTTCTTTAATTTCAAGAGAGCTTAAAAATTTGAAAGCCAACACGAAAGCACAAATTAATTTACCAAGGCTTTATTTGATCTTTCTTAATTTCAACATGATCTAAAACCTTGTTTTTTATTACAAAAATGAATACTTTGTTTATATTTCTTCATGTTACATGTCAGTTTCCCCCACTAGGTGGAAAACTGTTTGATTTTTTTATCTCATTTTGAAAAGCTCGTAAAAATATTCACAGCAGTTGGAACATTTTTCACAAATTTGTACATTGCACATGCTTTCAAAAAAATTTGAAATGCTTTCACATTATCACGAAAATGTGAAAGCATGTGCAAGACCAAGCCTGAACTATTGGCCTTTAGATAAAACTAAAAACATACACTGCATATCACCCTGAGCCATCCTCATAGCGGAACACGGCAGTGGCAGCATCATGTCACAGTTAAATGGTGTAAACTAAGCAATTAATAAATAGAAGAATGGACCAGTCAAAGTCCAGACCTAAATTCAACTGAGAAAGACTTAATTGTGCTCATAGATGTTCCACATATAATTAAGACTGTATTTTGTAAATTTAACATTTTAAACTCACTTTTTATTTTCTTTATGGCATATGTATTCACTTCTTTGTGTTATAAAAACTGATTAAAAATACATCAAAGTTGCCTTTTTTAAGCATTTTGTCTCGCTGATGAATTTTAGGCTTTTAGAATGACCTCTTATTACTGATAATTTAAAATCTTACCTTACCACCAGGTTAGGAGACATTTTATTTCTCAAAAGGAATGGCTCTGAGCTCCATGTGCAAGCCAGAAATATGCAGCGACACCACAACATGCAGATCTAAACAAGGAGAGTCCGTGCGTGCTACAAACCCCGTCAGGACTCATCATGTTGAGCCTTTGAGGTGCCCTACAACATTCTGCCTCTCCGTATACTTCTGATCCGGCTGTAACAGCTGGCCCGGGCCTGCTCTGCTCCCACCCTCTGATATGAAACTCCGCATCCGGTCAGACACTTTACGAGGACATAGAGCCGTTTCACGTCTCTCGGCCTTGGCTAAATCCTGCCGTTTTTTTTATGGAGCGAGGGTGGCGGTACCGCTGGGGGGACGGGGAGGGAAGGAGGCGCTTGTCTGTGGCTCCGAGCGCGGCGATGGAAATGTAACCAAACACCCAAAACTTGGTGGAAATAGAGCACATGTTGAATGACAGGTGTAAGGGGTGGCCTGCTAAATAGAGCGGACGGTTTGAGCTTAAAGTGAGCATATCCACCGGGGTTTACAGCCGAAACCTGAATCCAAATATAATGGGCAGCGTCACCTAATGAGATGCCTTGTTTTTCCACTTGATAAGAGTGCGATACATACTTTAAGTCAAGGAGTTCGTCACACATGACACAAAACACATCGATACAATCATTGTGTATTTATTGGTTGAGGATAGTTGCCGTTTTGTCGAAAGGGTTTAAATGATCCCATGAAGGTTTATGAAGTTAAACCTCACACACATTTTCTTGTTTCAAAAGAAAGTGAAGTTTATTTACTGTCAAGTAACATGTCATCATCACGTCTGTCCTGTTTTACCACTTCCTAAAAACGCTACGACAACATGGTTTCCACCTTAATGAGCTGCAGAGGCTGAGGCTTTCCGTGAGAGTGGTATAAACAATACAAAGTAATTTATCAGTCAGATATAAGACACTGGAACTGGTGGGACCCTTTAAAAATAAATATACATAACTATAGAACACACAATTAAAAGATTGCAACTTGGTGTGTTTTCTGTAAAGCAGTGTGTCAGCAAACATCTCTCCACCCAGGAGTACTACAGTTAAAAGAAGGGTCCCAGTTAATTCACTGGCGGTCTGAGGGTCAAAGGCGCCGCCGTGTCCTCTGGACTCCGACTGTACTTCTTACAGGTGAGTGCCAGCAGCAGCAGCATGGGCAGGTGCCATAGGCTGCAGAAGAAGAGCTTGCGGGCGCTGTTGCGGTCCCCCTGGTAGTAGAAGCGGACAGCTAGGTAGCTGATGTACAGGTTGATGGGTAAGGAGATAACGGGGAAGTTCCAGATGGTTACGTCCAGCGCGGGCGCTAGCGTCGTCAGTGGGATCAGCCCCAGGCTGTGGCGCAGGGCCACTCGCTTGCACATGCCCGGGTGGGTGACGGACATCATGCGATAGCCGCCGCGCGAGTAGTCTTCCCTCAAGTTCCAGCTGAGAGCGTTGAAGTGCGGGAACTGCCAGCAGTAAAGGAAACCGCCCAGTACCAAAGCACCTGGGGAGGGGAGACAAAGGGATTCAAAATCAAATAAAATACCAGATTTTTTTATAA